AACATATACTTATTTTTCTCAAAATGTGAATTTATAGTAACGATATAGTGGAAATACCGAGTCTAACTATTTTTTGCCAGGGGGATAAATCATCTGCCAAATGTTTGTGATCAAATAATAGCTAATCGTGGCTGGGACAGTAGAGGCTGGTAGAGTTTCTCACGGCCTTTCAGATGGTCATTTTAGTTTTGAAATAAATTGATTATAAATTGAAAAAAATCGATGAAAATGTAACAACACACACATCACCGGGGAATGGGATGATGAAGGTGTCTTTGTTGCTCTTGAATTTTTTTTCAACTGACGAATACAATTGAAGATATACTTATAGAGGATTGTAGAAAATTTGACGGGCTATCCGAATCTCTATTTACTTTATCAAAACAAAGAATTTATAATGATAATATATGGAAAATACCGAGTCTAGTTATTTTTGGCCAGAGGGATGTTATGAAGTTTTAGTTAAATAACGTCTAATAAGTTGGTGTGTTTTACTGACAAAGCTTTGTGCGAATTAACCAAATTCCATGAATATTTACATTATCTCTCCAATATCAAAGAACGATTATTTGCTTTTTAATATTAATTTATTTCTATATCTTCGCTGTTTTCTCATCTTTAGTTTTAATTTTTATTTAACACCTTATCAAACTGGCGATCTAATTAGTTTATAAATTCTCTCACGATCTCACACAAGTGAGATCTGTTTGTTTTGAATGAGCAAAATGTTCATTTATGTTCTAGTTTATGTTTACATAAAATAAGTATATATCTATATCTCAATTTCTCTTTTACACAGCTGGTTATGATTTTTTTTTTCTTAAATTTAAAATTAAGCGCATCTTTAATTTGATCATAATCAGCCTTCTGTGTTTGTTAAATAACAAGATCAATTTAACAACTAATATGAAAAGCTAACTGGCTGTTGTTATGCAATAATCGTCTTAAACTTAACAGTTGCAAAAGTGGATGTTATTAATTTTCATATGGTTTTAGAAAAACTTATTTTTAAAAAATATTTCTCATTTCACTTATAGATGAAATGATTTTTGTAACAATGATCGGAAAAAACAGATTCATCCTTCAACGTGCGTGACATATTTTCTTAGCCATAAATTGTTTAATACTACACACCTAAATATATACATAAATTTATACGATGGAACAACTTATTTTCGCTTTTCTTTTTATTTGTTTTTCTGTCTTTGATCAGTGACAACAGTTGACTTTTGATCAAATCACAATCGATTGTTACTGTATTTATTTTACATCTATAAATACTTTAATGATATCATCGATCACAAAACGTTTATAAACGTGTAATCGATACAATAAAGGTTGAGATCCTATTATAGGATCTTAGCCTCTAGTATAACCTCCGCTCTCTCTCTCATACAGTAAATCCCTGGATGTAAAAGAAGACCATCCCTTAATAGCGGACCATCCCCTATTAGAGGATCAGGTTTAGGTTTATGGGTTGCAAGCAAGTATAGAAAAATGCCAGTATAGGGAAAAGTTGAGCTCAATAGTTGACCACCCTTAAAGTTTTAACTTACCGGGCAAAATAAAAAACTACTTGGTCTTCTATTGCGCGGAGGAGTTTAGTCTACTCCATTTTTTATGGTGAGTGAACGTATGTCTTTACCATAAGTGTGGTGCCATCCGCTGGGAAAATTTTGAAAATTCTACGTCTCAAAAATAGAAAAATGACGAATATTCTGCTATTCAGAGTGGGTATAGTCATATCTCTGCAGTTTACCGGATAGTGCTAACCAAACCATGTTTATTGAATAAAGTGATAGAATTTATCTAACCTCAACATTGTGTTTTTCTCGCGTTAAAATAATGCACGATGATGTTTCAGGTGTAATAATTGACGGTGTTTTTGTATTTGATCAACAACTGTACATATTATATGTGAAACAAAATTGCTAAAGGCAAATACGAACGTTTTTTCTCGACACAACGGGAACAATTTCACTTTTTTTTATACTTCAATTATTACATAACGATTCAATCAGTTGGAAGTTTTAAATGATTTATTATAAACAATTAGTGAACTTTGGTTATTTGTAAATATGGTCAAGTTAAAATCTAATACAAGTGAAAAGTGGTTGGTTTTGTTTCTTATAGCATTCATTTGACTAAAGAAATGTTTACAATATGAATAGAGCAGAATATTAGAGATCTATGAATGTTACTGGCTTTTGTTATCTTTGGTAAAACTCGCATTTTAGATTTCGGCGAATTTTTTTCCTTTACGCCTTTTTATTTCATGTAGACAAACAGAATACATTCAAATTTTCTTAAATGTATAAGAAAAGAAAAAAAAAAATGTCCACTGTGCCGCATGTTCTCTGATTGGAGAATTGCATTAAAAATCTGATTGGTTGATAGTGACATGAACAAAAATTGTCTATTTTATCAACTTGTCTAGATACATATACACACACACACACATCTCTTTGAGTAATGGTGATGAGTTATCATATTTTGTGTTAAAAATCATTTATAATATTACATGAACAAGCAGGCACTTGAGTTAGACTCTCAACTTCTAATAATTGACTATACCAAAACATAAGTGTCATTCATCAGAAAGTCTCCACCTTCCCAGTGTGGATATTCTAGATTTCCTTTTTACAGATATACTAGCCTATTAACGATTATTTTTCTATAAATTTGCCTTTTTATTATTATTCTAACAATGTTAGAAGATGAAAATTTATTCACAAGATCTTCCTTTCCATATTCAATGGCTGCTCTTACGGTAGCTGCTGCTGCTCACAACATGTATAATCCATTTACATTTAACAGTTATAATACAGATAGCTATATAGGTAAGTTTATTGTCTGATACGATTTTCTTTTGAAGACAAAATTGTTCATTTTGTTACCCACACATCTATTCCTTCCTGTGGATGTTTCATAACATGTAAAAAAAACTTGTTCAGAAAAAGGAGGCTACAAATTTATTGTTTTGGTAGATCAATTAGTCTTACAGAAGAAATATGTTCAACAGTTTCTCGTATGAAAGTTACTAAATTCTGAACTTATTTTTTTCTTTTACTGTTAATATTAGAATTGCGCTCACTCTTAAATCGAAGTTTCTTTGATGAATATGACATTTTTCTCTTTAAAACTTTATTCTAGCACCAGATATAAAAAGCGAAAGAACAGATTCAAAAATTCAAGTAAAATTAGAAGATATGGACTTATGGAAACGTTTTCATAGTTTGGGGAATGAAATGATAATAACTAAAACTGGAAGGTAAGTATTTTTTCATCGTTCGTGAAAAAAAGATTTTTTTAATTAGTTAAATTTTGTCAAACGTATTGTAGACATTTTTTTAGAAAAACAGGAAGACAAAGGTGTTTGTTTATTATTCTAGACGAATGTTTCCGACATTTCGAGTGATGTTGAATGGTCTTGAAACGAATACAAAATATATGGTATTGTTAGATATAGTACCAGTTGATGATAATCGTTACAAATATCATGATTCAAGTTGGAATATATCTGGAAAAGCTGAACCCCATTTATTTGGAAGGTTTGTTGAGATTAATATAAAAAAAAATAATTTAATTAAAACTTTTCATTGTATAATTTTTAGATATTATGTTCATCCTGATAGTCCGGCAACGGGTACACAATGGATGAAACAATGTGTTCTATTTAATAAAGTTAAAATAACAAACAATGCCATGCACAATCAGGGACATGTAATATTAGCAAAAGTCTATAATTTACTTTACAATATTTTATTTTTGTGTTTTATTTTTTTCAGATTATTCTTAGTTCGATGCATCGTTATCAACCTCGTCTACATATTGTTGAAGCATCCGATGTATATTCGATAAGAACTGGTACATACAACACATTTACATTTGATGAAACGGTTTTTACAGCTGTCACAGCCTACCAAAATGATCAGGTATGTCTTTTTTAACGCTTAATAAAAAAATCATGATCTTCTTAGTAACAGAAAAAATTGTTCGCTCTTCTTATAGATCACAAAATTGAAAATCAATCATAATCCATTTGCAAAAGGATTTCGTACGTATAACTTACAAACATTCTAATGTCTAAAAGTCAATATCTTGAATTTTTCAGGTGAACAACCGATACATGGAAAAAAGTAAGCCATAAAAATATGTTAATAACTCTAGTATGAAGTAATCTGACAAGAAAAGGCTATCATATTGAATAAAATAAATTTTGATCATATAGATTAATATTTCAACGTCTTTGTCAGCTATTAGAAGTCTAACACGAAAAACTGCTTAGAATGAATTTGATTACTGATGAAAAACTAATTTTTATAATCTTTTTTAGGACTTCGAAAGGTTTAAAGCGTCAATGTGAGTCTAGCAACGATAATGAGAAAAGATTAAAAACAGGTATAATTTTTTAAACAATAACTACCAATCAGTAATCAGTCTATTACTTTTCTTTCTCTTTTTTTTCTAAGATCATGGCAGTACATCTCGATTATGCAAGAGTGATTCATCAATAAATTCCACTCTACTTGGACAACAACAATTATCTACTTCTACTAGTACTAGTACATCGTCTGCTCTAGCTGATTCTACCACCTATCTCGATGAAAGTTATACATCCGGTGATAGTCCAACAAAAGACTATAAATGTTCTACTACTATACCATTGACTGCATCAACATCTTATCCATCGAACATGTACAATTATGATACATCAACACCCTTTTATATGAATCAAAAACTAAATTCCTACTATGGTATGCCAACCACACCATTTAGTTATAGTCCCATGAATTTTGGACAGTTTTCACGCTATTCAACTCAAACCTATCCGTATCCTATCTCATCATCAGCAAACTATAATGCATTTTTTAATCAATGAAATAGTACCGTGTTTTCTCTTAAATATATCTATTTTCATATGTGTGTATATTTATTCTTTTCTGTTAAAATAAAATGTTTGGTAGACCAACGAAGTCACCAAAAGAAAAAAGTCATAGCCATATTGTGTGTACTTATTTTTTGTTGAGGTGTTAAAGCGCATTTAGCATATTACCATATACAATATAATTCGTGCACATCAAAATATCAATATTCTAATTGACTATGATATATTAACAAATGTACTGTCATTATTCTCGAGAGAAATAAACATGAACCGAGAAATTTTTACGAGTGTTACGACATGAACGAACAACAAAAAAAAAAAAAATTTTTTTTTCCTCTCAATTTCTTAAAATCTTCAGTTATACATATGGTACTCCCAAAGGCAAACGTTTAAGGTGGATATAAATATGAAACCAATAGAAAAATTGAACAACTCACATGAATGATTATTTTGACACATCATAAAATATGCCTGAATGTATATGTGTATAATAAAACTAACCAATAAAGACAATATAAAAACAATGTCTTTTATTCACATATATACAAAAACTTATTCGTCTTTTATGAATAAGAATTACTAATAGTTTTTTGTTCGTTTCATTGATGGAGGAAGAGAAAGAGAGAGAGAAGAGATAAAAAATAGATATACGGCATAAAATAAAACGATGTTTATCTGAATAAATAGTTGAAATTGTAGATTACATTTTTAAACCCAATTTTAGGTTATTCAATGATGTTATTTAGGTTTAGAAGATAAACAGTTTGGAAAATATACATTTTTAAACAGATGATTTTTAAGAATGAAAAATAGAATTTTTTCATTGATTGTACAAGTTTTCTATATCAAATGTGGACTTTTTGATGTAGTGCTTTTATTGTTGAAACAATATTCTTATATATATCTTGTTCGACCTTCTAGCAAGAACATTGTTTGATTTAATAAAGAGACATGGTCCATGTAGTAAACTTTGCATTACTGATCAGTGTTTTAGGACGTGTGTTCAACTTTGAATTTAGTTTTCTATATATTATATTTTACATAAAATGCATGTTCCAACAAATGGTAGTGGAATTTAATAGAAAAAGTGTTTTAAAAATCATTTACTTCAAATAAAGAATTAGGAAAAATATGACATTATAATCAATAGGTCATGTAGAGAATCGGATAACGTTCACTCAAAAATTTAACAAGCAATGAGTGTTAATACAAGTTTCATATCTATGTAAAAACACGATTTTATTGTATTTCTAATTGCAGACAGTACTTATGATCGGAAACTATTCTATATTTTGTATATTACTGTTCATTCTCTGTCAGAATGGAAAATTTTTTCTACTTTCATAACCCGATAATCTCACAAATTTTCAACTTTGAACGACTTTTAAATGTAACGAAAACATTTTTTTTTTCATCTTTCTCTTTATAAGCATTGGCTTCTTTTAACACATTCATTTTAGGTTTAATGCATAACATATTGGATTGGTCAGATAGAAAAATAATTCACGCTGAGGAAAAAAATAGATATTTTTTTTTCTTTTCTTTCAACAGGTAGCAGAAAAAAATTAGAAAGACATATGATCATCTTGTATTACGCGACAACACAATTTGACGATCGATCTTTAATATACACACGGCATATGTTACGTAAAACATCATTTATTTAAATCGTTTTTGCATGTTATCATACGCTGTTCCACAGCAATTAAATTCAACGACTAACATATGCTCTTCATCAGCCACATCAAGATTATACAATGATGATGATATATTTAATGTAAGAAATAAACCGTTTATCTATCCAGCAATGTCAACAGCACCAGTAGCCACACATGGAATGTATACGTCACAAGGATTTCCCGGTTTTGGATTTGGTCTATACGATGATATATCATCATTTCCTGGTAAAAGATTAATTAACATTTCTTAGTTCGAGTACGATGTGATGTGTCCAATGACTTTGGCACTGTTTACTCTAAGAAGGAAATTACTGCATACTTCTTAATTTATACTTAAAAATAAAAGATGTAGGCCTCTTTTTCTGGTTAGTCGCCTTTACCATACTCTAAATTGAACTTCGTAATCTTGACGAATTGTCTGTTTCTTATATTAGATCCCACACGATCCTCATTTTTTGTAACAGCAAAACGGGAACGTCCCGATCCCAATATTGAAGTAGAATTAGACAATATGGATTTATGGAAAAAATTCGATGGAATTGGAACAGAAATGATTATTACGAAAAGTGGAAGGTATGTATGTATATGCGTGTACTTAATGTGATGAGTCAACTTAAGCCTCTATACGTCTTTTTTTATAACAACTCAACTTGTACGCACAGTTGGTAATAAAAAGAAGTGCAGCTGCCCAATATGTTGTTGACATTGATGATAGTTGATGTCTCTTATGAATTAGTATTGTGAACTAATTAGCTCTTTTGTTCAAGAGTTTCAATTTGAATGAGTTTTGCTTCTCAACAGGAATTAAGTTTGTTTTCCTTCATATTAAGTGTATAAATGAAATATATGTGTGTTTAGAAGGATGTTTCCAATATTTAAAGTGATAGTAACAGGATTAGATACAAATTCAAAATATATTATGTTTATGGATGTTGTACCTGTTGATAATAATCGATATAAATATCATAATTCTCAATGGATGATAACCGGTGCTGCCGAACCCCATATGCCCGGTCGATTATATCCACATCCAGAAAATCCTTCAACTGGCAGTCAATGGATGAAACAACCAATAACATTTAATAAATTAAAATTAACAAATAATACCATGGATCAACAGGGTCATGTGAGTAATAGAGTGATAATACTATGGTAACATAATGTTTGTAATTATCATTGTCTCATACGTAGATTATCTTGAATTCCATGCACAAATATCAACCACGTTTACATATCATTCAAGCATCTGATTCACTATCAATACGGCCGGATGCTGTTAATACATTTACATTTCCCGAAACAACATTTATTGCCGTAACAGCATATCAGAATGAACAGGTTTGTTCTCACAGTTTCGATGTGACTATATAGAGATAATACTGTACAAACAACTTTTCATAGTGAAATTGAAAATTTTGTTACATTTGATTGTTTTGTTTTAGATAACTCGATTGAAAATCGATAATAATCCATTTGCTAAAGGTAAATTGAATGATCTTTGTTCTGCTTTGTAATGTCTTATTGCTTTTATTGAAGGTTTTCGAGATCACAATGGCCATAGTCGAAAGTATGTTTGAACTTCGTATTTTTCATATTGCTCTAATGAATTTTATTTTAGAGATACAAGATCAATGAAACGAGGTAATGAATTTAACGATAATGAAAAGAAACTTAAATCAGGTAACTATTAAATATTTTTGACATGTTGAATAAAAAATACTGTAATATATTTATCTTAATCGTTGTCTATTAATTTAGAAATGTATACACCCGATTCAAAACGTAATAAGTCCAGTAGTGGCGATGATCTTACACCTGAATCACCAATAATTCAGACAACAAACAACTCAATATCAACTCCTATAATTGCAGCCACAGCTGATTCTACCACTTATTCTGACACTGACAATTATGATCTTCATACATATAAAGATTCGGCAAAAAATAGTTTAATGAACAATTACTATTATTCATCGCCAATATTTTCATCAAAATTTCAATCGTCATTTGCCAATCATCCATCTAGTTCATTTAATCCATACACGTCAAATATTACTGGCTTAACCAATCCATTTACACGCTATTCAACTAGTTCATTTAATTCAACATACAATCCATATACTCATCCAAATTTATACTATTCATCGTAATAAATACCTTATATATTGTAATTTTATTTGTTTTTTTTTTGTGAAAAATACTTTTTATAATCAAAAGTGAGAATATGTTTAAAAATGAAAAGTGAGATTTTTCTTTCATTTTGTTTTGAGAATAAAAAGCAAAAATTGAGAACTATTGAAATATAGATACGGATTTTGTAGCAACGATTCATATGTTCACAAATATATGTAGAAGACAGTTGCATCAAAGTCTAGCATGCATGAAAAGTTCAATAACATTGGAAAGATGCAAATTGTCCTCTTTATATTCTCATTCGATAGAGCATACAATGGCACATGGGAAGCCATCTTTTAAATCTTTGAAACTCAAAAAAAGAAAACAACGACGCTATGAATAATTTGTATGAAAAGCTTTAGGAAAAATTCATCAAATAAACAAACTTCGTATTTTCATTGCTGTTCTCTACCTCAAAGGTTTTAATTAATAGTCAAAAACAGAACTGAGCAAAATATGATAGTTTTCAGTGAATTTTTAGACTCAAATTCATTGATAACATCAGAAATATTTTATTAAAAATTTATGACAGATACTATTTGTAACTCGTTTGATTTTGTATCGATTTTCCTGATAATTAACGCTTTTTCAATAGTGAGGATAGGACCGTTATTATCGCGACGATGTGAACGATTTTGCACATTCTACTATCAAGTAGGGACGCTCTTTTGCCCTCGATTTTATCACTACTTCCAGCTTAAATAAGATATCTCGGAAAAAAATTGAAGTAATGTTGAATCTTAACTATATCTATATCTATGAAACTCTATACGCAAGCTGCATTTGTTTCTGTTAGTGGATTCACTTCAATAGCGGAATTCATTTGTCTTAAACTTCAAGTCCAATAAGAAAACATAACAAATATAGAGACTATAGTTTGTTGTCATAAATATTGAAAATCTCAACTAAACACTGTTGCTTGCGATGTAATGTACTGCGGAAAATACACTATCCCTTGAGTCACTGGTTGTTGAAATTGATAATGACTTTCTGGCTTTGATAAAGCGATTTATGATTCATTTTCTAGCCAAAATGAAGTTATGTCATAATAAGGTTTGTATATAATAGTACTGATGGGTATACCTTTATGGTTTTTTTTGTGAGTGTTATGATCACATATAGTGGAACGTATCATCTAACATACATTTCCATTTCTGAGAGTTTGGATCTTACAATCTGTACATTATATGCATAGCTTTAATAATACTGAAAATAACCTCTACTTTGTTCATCGACTGGAATAACTTTTTAAAAAGTCTATTCTCATTATAGAAAAATATTGTATATAATCAGATCAGAGTGTTTCAGAGTAATATAATGGGAATTTTTTTAGACTTCCTTTCTTATGAGACACCCATCATCATTAGACATACAATCATATGTGGTCATAGATTTACCTTTGAACTAAACAGTTATGTTGAAGAAAGGAAAAATTTTGAAATTATTCTGAGCATGAAAATTTTCGCAGTCGTATATAAAGAAAAGTGTGAAACAAAATAGTGATTCAAAAATTAGCAAGCTCTGGGTACAACAACTCAGAAATTTCAAGATGTTCAAGATCTTGGATTCTTAGAAGTTCTTACGTTTTCTTACCAAAATCTTACTGAAAATATTCAAGAAGTCAAGATCTACAAGTTTCACTAGGGATGCACTGTTCCTTTATTAAGAAAACTACAACTAAGATTATTTCATAAAAACATGTTTCTTTTTTAGCTGAACACCATAAACTGTCATGGAAATTTCTCACTGAAAAACTCAATTTGCATCCGTACAGATCGAAAATGAACGCTCAGAAGGCGAAGTATTTATCACTCTTAGACAAGTGCGCCATCTACGTGTTCATTAATCCGTGATCTATACACTATCTAAAATACAACCTATCTGCTACAATAGATAAAAAACGATGAAAAGTGATGATTTTATGACTTCTCCAAAACAAGTCTCATTGATGAAGTTCGAAATGTCTTTTTTTATTGGTAGATAGTAAATGTTAAAATGCATTTTTATTTTAACTTTAATTTAAGGTGAGTTTACACTCATTCCCCCATCATCATCATCATCATCATCATCATCATCATCATCATTCACCATATGATAGAACCAGAGCAAAGAAATCCATCTTTTTAAGATTTTTCTTCTTCCTGTGTTTACTTATGAAAACGTTGTTTTTTACAAAAACAGATTTACATTTCAATTAAATTACAAAATTATACTTGATAGAAACTATGTCCTTTTCTTCTTTACCAGTGGTAGATTTAAACTTGGATGATTCGACTATCGTCCAGTCCATATTTTTGGCATGTACAACAACTGGTTTTTTTTATCTGAAAAATCATGGATTATATGATAAACAGTTGAAAATGTTTGAGCTATCCAAACGTTATTTTCATTTACCTCTTGAAGAAAAACTGAAACACCAAATACAAGAAAAAAACCATGGTTACGTGCGTGCGGGACAAGAAAATTTAGATTCAACTGATCAAAAGTCGATGGATTTAAAAGAAGCATTTAATATTTCCAGACTTACCAATGAAGAAGATTTGCCTGCATTATTTCAGGAGAATGGAAATTTTAGATTAGTTAACCAATTTCAATTTGATTGTTATTCATTATGTATGAAATTATTGAAATATTTAGCTATTGGTTTCGAGATAGATGAAGATTATTTCCTGTCAAGGCACAAATGGGACGAAGATTCAAGCGATATAATAAGATTACTTTATTATCCATCGTCATCGAGTTTAACGACAGAAAAATCGATTCGAGCCGGTGCACATTCAGATTACGGATCAATAACATTGTTGTTCCAACATGAAGAGAAAGGAGGACTACAAGTTTTTGACCGTGTAACGAAACAGTGGTGCGATGTCAAACCATATAATGAAATGATTGTAGTAAATACTGCAGATGCCTTAGAATATTGGACAAAAGGTTTTGTTAAAAGCACCGTACATCGTGTTATTATGCCTGATCAATTGTCACCAGATGAACGCTACTCAATTGCCTACTTTTGCCAACCAAGTAATACAGTTTTATTAGAACCAATCCCATCAAAATATATGATCAATCGTGTTTTCGAAAAAGATGAACATGCCAAACATGTTCTAAATCATGAAAGCGATAAAATTCTAACAGCTGGTGAACATTTAAGATTGAGATTAAATAAAACATACGCTTATTGATAGATTTCCCTTCGTGTGTCAGTATGACAGAATGCTAAAACATTTTCAATACTTCAGTTTGCGACCCAATTTTTTTTGTACTCGTCCCTGGGTTAGATTGTCGACGTTAATGATGTTCACTTTTGATAATTTTTTTCGCAATAGATTTGTCTGATATGCATATTTCCATTTTGAGAGCTATTTTTTCGATAACAGTAAAATACAGAGACTCGAAATTTATAATGATAATCTCTATTATACCCAAAAATTTCAAGTCACTATGACTTCATCTTCTAAAACTCAATTATGAATTATCTCTGTTAACACTAGTTGATCTAGTATGTTGAAGGCTCAAACTGTGATGCACTGCTAACGTATTTCATTAATCGATGATTAACTAGAAGTGTAAATCAGTTCCAACAGACAGTTAGAATCTGAAATTTGTTTATAAACTTCGATCACTATTCTATCCGCTCGATTAGATAAGATATGTAACTACATTAATATTTAACCATTAAGCTTTACAGATGTAGCCTATGATTAAGACAGTCAAAAGACTATGAAGGATAATAACCAGAGCTGCTAGGTGGTCCGCATTTTGCGGACAAATTCCGATTTCTGTAGTTTTTTCCGCAAAGTGTCCGCTGTCCGCTTTTCGAGGATTTTATATAAAACAGATGGATCCACTAAAAGCCAGTATCGATTCAGATTGTGAGTTAGATGATGTTTTGTACTTCTTTTGTGGTTCTTAAGTGGAACCGCCATAAAGCGCCAGAAAATATGTTTTGATACTCTTTGCATTTGGTGAAAAATGAAATAATACGGTGAAGACAGCGTTTCCGTCCGCTTTTCTGATCTAAGTATCTAGCAACTCTGATAATACCCTTAATTTATTATTTTTTTAGACATCTCATAAAACAGCTTTCGATCCATACCAATCACTGAATATAAAGTCGTTCTTTTGGTACATACATTTCTTTTTGCACGACATTAAGGATAAAAACTAGATAGAATTTGTACAATTTCTTTTTGTCCGTCTTTTCTCATATACTACGCACGATAGAAACGAAATCTAGCTTCTTATGTAAGAAAGTATCCTACATGTTGCCGATATTAGATTTTTGAAAATAATTAATTTCTACTTGACCGTCTGTATTGATCGTTAGCCGATGTTTATAGGGTATAACTTTTAGTCTTATTTTCCTTTTCTTTTTTTTGCTTTAAGAATGACAAGTATTAAAACAGTAGTATCATTTTCTGTTTTAGATTAAACACATTTTTTTGTTTAACCACGATGGAAGCCATTCGTATACACTGTAGTACTAATAACAAAATATCAAAAATATCAAAAACGATAATCAGTTACTGAAATATAATGATATAGAGTCAATTCAGTCTTAAACTACTGCGTTCCAGTAGCTTTCAGACACCGTCAAATACCATAAAAATGAAATATTATTCAATAAGATAAGTAATCAACAAAGTTATAGAAAAATTCTGCTTTTTACAATTTCTATTGCTGGTAGACCAGTCGTATCCATGAATGAGAAGTTCTTTTCTAAAGATTGTCACTTTGCAACGTTTGTATCTTTTTTAAGATTCAATAGTATCGCTCACCACTCTCACTAGATGTAAAGTTCGAATGAGAATGATGACGCTGTAATCGATTATGATTTATCCTTCCGAAAAAACTTCGTGTTAAGTACGATAGGATAGATATCTATAACTTATTCGGCTTGTTTAAATTGAAAAAAAACAATTGTTTTTAGGTATTAGAACTCGTTTTACCACAAATTGAAATCCTTGTATGAGAAGAAGAATGATTTCATGTGAATATTTTTACTTTTTCAGAAGAAGCATTATTCAGTGAAGTGGACAGAATGTTAGTGAGAACTAAATAATTTTTCTGTTGGTCCAATGCTCCTTAGAATGCTCTTGAATCGACTAAGTTTCAGTTCAATAGTTTTGTAGTACATGTTGTGATGCAAACAATAATTGTTTTTTGGTAATACATTAGGATTTCTACTAGACAATTAACCATCTAATTTTTACACTAGGATACAGCTTTTAGTAGAAAAATAAGTGATGTTTTAACGTGTGCAAATTCCTTCGGTGGTTCTCTTTTAGTCAGTGTTCAACTTTGTTCATCTGCTTTTATGATATTTTTCTTTTGTATTTTATAACTAATGCTCTAGTACCGATAATAGTATATATTCTGTTTTTCACTGTTAAATTTTCCTTTTGATTGTCTTTTTTGAAAAAATAACAGATTTATCGCCGTATTATCGCTTCGTTTATTATTCATTTTTAGATTTGCTGTTTATACATCTTTATTCCTCTCTCTCTCTCTTGATATCTATATATATAGAATGAAAGACGATTTATTTTTCAACGTTGACCATGGTTATTTAGAAGGATTATGTCGCGGTTTTAAAAGTGGTATATTGAAAGCTCCAGATTATCATAATCTTATACAATGCGAAACACTTGAAGGTATGTTACTGTATGATGTGTGAGCACTTGATTTTTATTTTCTTATTATTAAGATTTAAAATTGCATTTACAAAGTACAGATTATGGTAGTTTTTTGGCTAATGAAGCGAGTCCATTGACGGTGAATGTTATTGATGATCGCCTACGTGATAAATTAGTACAAGAATTTCAACATCTAAGAAACGCATCATATGAGCCACTATCAACTTTCTTGGATTATATAACGTGAGTGATGACCTATTAAATATTTTGTGCATTGCTACAAAAAATATCTTACGATTATTCAATTTTTATTACTAAAAAGAATATTAACATTTTTAATTACAGCTATGGGTATATGATTGATAATATTGTATTATTAATAACTGGTACTTTACATCAACGTGCAATTGGTGACCTTTTACCACGATGTCATCCGTTAGGCAGTTTTGAACAATTAGGGGCTATAACTATTGCCGATACACCAGCACAATTGTACACCGCAGTTTTAGTCGATACACCACTTGGTAAATGAACAATTTTTTTTAACAAAAGAATTAAAATCATTTGCTTTTTTGTTTTATAGCACCCTATTTTATTGATTGTATCTCGGAACATGATCTAGATGAATCGAACGTTGAAATTATTCGAAGTACTTTGTACAAGGTAACTATGATGTACTTTGAACAGAGATCTTTTTATTGTTTAAAATTGTTGAGATTAGTAATAAAAATGACTTACAGAACTATCTGCTCGTAACTATTGCTCGGTTTGAAATTCAATCACAAAAATATGTTTGTCTTATTTTTTAGGCTTACTTGGAGGATTTTTATGATTTTTGTAAAACGTTAGGCGGTGTAACCGCTGATGTAATGTGTGAAATTTTAGCGGTAAGTTTAAATATCAGAAAATGAATTTCAGCTATACATACCATCTTTATTTATATCTTGTAGTTTGAAGCAGATCGTCGTGCTTTTATGATAACAATCAATTCATTTGGTACGGCTTTAACTCAAGATGAACGAGCTAAATTATACCCATCATGTGGTCATTTATATCCCGATGGACTTGCTGAATTACGTAAAGCAGATAGTTACGATGCGGTTAAAGACGTAGCATCACGCTATTCGGTATAACACATCGTTTTTCTAATCATATACTTTTTTTTTGTTGAAAACTGATCGTTGATGAATAGGGATCTGCAACCTGATCCGAACCCAGGACTGGGCAACTCCACCGAAGTTCAACTCCAACTCCGTTCCAACTCCGGTTGGTTTTTTCTTTTATTTTCCGAGACAAATGTTAAAAATCAACAGTACTAACACATAAAATTGAAACTTCTTCAAAGTAACAAATGAAAATTGCATATTCAAAAATGTCAGTTTTGACAACATTGTTTTGACGTTTGACACATGAGAGTGATATGAATTCTGTCGTTTATTCACCTGTCAAAAAAAGAACCATAGTGATTATTTTCCTATGTATGCGTTACTCTTTTTTTGAAGAACAAAAAGCGTAACACAAACAATTACACGGAGTTGAGAATAAGAATGAATAAAAGATAACTCTGTTCTCAAAAATTCCAACTCCAGCTCCACTTAAAAATCGCTCAACTCCGGAGTTGCCCAGCCCTGTCTGAACCCATCCAATTCTAGAATCGAATCGGATTCGAGTTGAATTGTTTTTCGATCAGATTCGGATTTCGTTTTTCTAACCCATGCAGGTCGCTATTGATGTAATCATTTGATAATTGAAAACTATTTTTTCAAATTGAAGATTGGGGACAATGTTGATAATTTTGCTGATATTTAGGACTACAAATTGTTGTTCGATGGTGCTGGAATGAATACGGGAGAAAAGACAATTGAAGATAAATTTTTTGAACATGAAGTAAGAGACAGACTCTTCCTTCTCTTGGTTGTACATTGACACTTCATTTTGTTTAGGTTAAACTCAATATGAACGCATTTCTTCGACAATTTCATTTTGGTATATTTTATTCATATTTAAAATTGAAAGAACAAGAGAATCGTAATATTATTTGGATTGCTGAATGTATTGCACAACGACATCGATCACGGTAAGTAACTGTTTCTATTTTCTCATCTAGAAAAAGTTCTCCCATTTTTTTATTTATGACTGCAGAATTGATAATTACATTCCAATATTTTGAAAAAAAAATTTGTATTTGAACATAAATGGGCGGCTTTGAATTTTTCAGTGTACATTCCATATGGGCATCGAATGATTTATTTTTTCTTCACTGAATACTAAATGTGTCCTAAGTCATTGTACATTTTTTGATAAAAATAGAGATAGTTCGACAACCCACCCGCTCTATTTTAAACGTTTTTTTTTTGCTGGAAACTACGATCAAATTTTAACAGTGCAATCTTTCATCTTATTCATTTTAATTATTTATTTTGTTCCATTTTCTTCGAATCATGTCGTTGTTTTCGACGTTGTGCGTTACGTAATAAAGTTTGTCAACTATTCATTTTGCCATTGTTAGTATTTAAAAAATAAAGATATTTATAGACAAAAATAGTCGAATTTTTTTTCATGTTGGATCTTTTAATTATTATATTTTATCAATTTTGTTTGAAGACTTTAATCATGTTTAGTTTTAGATATAATACAATAACATAATCGAACATCAGATAATAAACAGCTATGGGTGATGATGTAAATATCAGATTATCAATCACATTGAGCAGTCTTTTTTTTGATTTATTCAAACCATTTATTTAGATTATGAATTATAATGGTGGTGTTGCATTGGCAATGAAAGGAAAAGAGTGTGTTGCAATTGCTTGTGATAAACGTTATGGTGTTCAAAATCGTACAATTGCAACAAATTTTACAAAAATATTTGAATATGGTCCACATTGTTATGTTGCATTTTGTGGTTTAGCAACAGATGTAAATATAAATTATTTTCTTTTTCTAGTATTTCTGAATTATTTCTCTATTTTAGGTACAAACAGTTGCCGAACGTTTAAAATTCCGTACAAATTTGTATGAATTACGTGAACAACGAAAACTTAAACCAAATGTTTTGTACAATATGTTAACAAATTTATTATACGAAAAACGATTTGGACCCTATTTTATTTTTGCATTAGTCATTGGTTTAGATCCAAAAACCGGAGAAACTTTTGTGTATGACTCGGATAATATCGGTGCTATAAGTGATAATGTTAATTTAGCAACAGTTGGTACAGCCAGTGAATATATATTTGGTTTAGGTAAAAATATTGAACATTAAAGAGTATCTGTTTGTAAACAATTTTTCTCTTGTTTTTATATTAAAGGTGAATTACTTTTTAAACCAGATATGACACCCGATGAATTATTTGAAGCAACATCTCAATCACTTTTAAATGGTTTTGATCGTGATTCGGCATCCGGTTGGGGTGCCGTCGTTTATGTTATTGAAAAAGATAAAGTAACTATTCGTGAATTGAAAGCAAGACAAGATTAATTTAACGCTTTTAAACTCTAACAATGCATTTTTTTAAATGAAAGTCTAGAAAAATTTATTTGCTTTTTCGTGTTGTGTTTGTTTTTGTTGTTGTTTATGTGTTTAAAAAATAAGATTCGAAAATGAAATGGCACCGAGATTTGAGAAGTGTTCAATAGTATTTGGAAAAAAAGAAAGGAACTATTTTGTTAGAAAAATTAGTCTTACAAATGATCAATTTGTCAACTACTGTGAAATACTACAGCTGATTCACTTTTTATCTCAAGGTTATCTATCAGTAAATCGAGGTCTGTTCATATGACCGATACTGAACTACTTTTTTTTGTTCTAATAAGTATTTTTATTATTTCTTAGCTGTATGATTCAAGAGAATAAAACAGAGTATGAACAATTTATTCACATTGGTATGTGACTAACTAATTGATTTTTAATGTCTGAACTGTACTGTTTATTTCCTGTTATATTTCTTTTTTTTTTCTCACCATACAAAAGAATAGATAATTACACACACCCACAAGTTTTTCAGAAATAAAAACAAATACACACATAGAGAAAAAAGAAAACGTGAGACAATAAACCAAAAAGAAGAGATCCACACACACTCACGCGCAACGTTATCGTTTCAATTAAATAAAAAAATGAAAAAACATTTTTAATAAAAAAAGAACAACAATTAAATAGGCCATAGTTAGCAAAAGCTGGCATAATTCGATTGAAGAAAAGCATGTGTGTACCAATGAAAAATAGGAAATAGGTATACCATTGTTGACTAGCTTGAATTAGATCAATAAAAACACTAGTAAGCACATACGTTACATTAAAGAATAGTCAGAAAAACTCGTACACTGTAAAGAAAATATACAATTCAGTGAAAAATATGAGGGAAGTTGTCTGCAACGCGCAAGATTCAATAGGTCTTTAAGACAGTAACAGCAGTATCATGTCTGTCTCGGACTGTTCTTCATTAACCTTGTAGGAGGCTCAATGAAAAACTACCTGTTTTCTCATGTTTTTTTTAGTCAAAAAATATATAAATATAGCAGAATAGGCAATCGCTATAAGTATTTCTATAAGTGTTTTATACATGCTTTAGTATCTCGCATGCGACGCCACCAGTCATCGAATTTTAAGCATCTTCACAATATTCCCAATAATCAGTATCATAACCCTCATAAACATGAGCTAATAAAACTTTTCTTCTGTTATCGCAATATCGATATTTATCTTGTACTTTTTGTTTCATTTCACTTAAATTTATTGTTTCTGAAATATCTCGTTCTAAATATCCACTTAATTCTTCCGTAGCATGTTCTAAATCAGCTTGATTTTGTTCAAAAATAATCGAATTATTATTACGTTTTAAATAAAATGCAAATGGATATGTATACATTAAAGTTTGACGACATTGTCGTAGTACTTCACAAGCATTTTGTAAAAATTGTACTTCAATCCATGACATTTGTTGTTGTAATATCTCCATACGTTTTTGTACTTGTTCTAATAACTTACTTTCTAAACGTAATGATTCATGATGATTATTATAACGTTTATAATAATGTAAATAACGTTGAAGAGCGGCACGAGAACGTTCTTGTTCATCACGTGCTTTTTTAGCATCATCTTCATTGAAACGATTACAGTTATACCATGATGAACCATGTGGTTCCCATGCACCCAAACATACCCAACAAAAGTCATATTTACAACTCAAATTTTTACATATCAAATGATTGCAACCACCATTTTTCTCTAAAAATATTAACATTTTAATATAAGCACTCAAATTTGTCAATTTACTCAGATCTATTCACTAGCATACGCTGTTCTCCGCAATGATTGATGGAATAGCATTACCGCTTTGCATTACTTGCTCATTTGTTGTGGAGGATATGAGTGCAGAAGTCTATCTATGAACGACAACTTAATTTTTTATGAAATTTTTTTTAACTATCACATTTTTAGCACTTCAACAGGCAAACAAAAAGATTGTGTACACTTACCTATTGTTGCATGACATTTTGGACACTCTTTTGTATTCGCTGCAATCTAAACATACCAAAAATAAACCATAAGAAACTCGTTGTTCTTCCTTTAATGCATTTCTTGTATTCGTTTAAGAGTGCAAAATAAAAAAACAACAATAGAAATTACTTTTTTCCTCTAACTATTCAAACTGTCTCTGATTTGTTTTTCTGTGGGATGGAGTACAGAGACTGAATATCAAATCTATCCTAACGTACCCAATTTGATGTTTCACTATCGTCGCGACACTTTTTATGCCATTTTTTTAACCATTTACATTTGATTGGTTCATGCCACTGTTCCGAACATTGAAAACAAAATGATGTATGACAAGATGTACATGTTACTAATTGTGCATCACAATATGGGGCTTTAATGGCATTTGTACAATTTTTCCCTGGACACCATCTCATATTTCGGTTACATTCCACAAAACTATTTGTTATTAAATGTTGATATTTTCGTCGTACATCATCTTGATCCTTAATTAACTCTAAAACTTTTCCATCGTCAACTAAAATATCACATTTAGCTGGACAAGGAATTGTTTGTCCAATACCTTCATGCATTATTTTCATTGTTAAATAACTTCGCCAACAACTAGTACAAAATGCATGTCCACATTCAAGACCGGACATATCATTTGATGGTTTTGTACAACAACATATGGTACACATTTGATGTTCAATTCTCAGTGGATTTGAAAGAATATTTGTTGATGGTGATGCCGATGCACTGGCTGTTGAATTCTGTCGACGTGTATGTCGTTGAAAGTGTGTATGTGCTTGTTGTTGTTGTTGTTGTTGCTGCTGCTGCTGTTTTGTAAATGGATTAACAATATGTGCCTGACGGAATAACTCATCTTGATGATGTGGATCATAGAAACGTTCCATTAATTTTTCTTTGTCCCAACGAAAATGATGTAATAACAAACGAACAGTTGTCTCTGGTAATTTGATAACTAAAAGCGACAAGGAATAACTCATTAAATATAAGTTATCAGATTAGTCAAAGTAAATATGAGAGCAACTTTCTATCTATTATAACTCTATCCTCAAACTAACACGGTTCATTGTCTGCGTACCTTCGTTCACTTCTCTAATACATTCTTCCATATATTTCCAAATTTCTTCTTGAGTTAAAACAACATATTCGAAATTGTTATCTTGTTGATGGGTACCAGCTGGTAACATTGATGGTTGTTCATGTGGTAAATAAGGTTTCGAACGTTTTGACGATTGTAACTGATGTTCTGACGATGTCGACGATGTTGCACTTGGTGTAAAAGGTTCGAATGATGGATCAACATAATAATGATCATCTTCATCGTCCTCTTCTTCTTCTTCTTGATATTGCTCATCATCACTACTCATGTTTCTTTGCTTTTTATCAGCAAAAAATATATATTGTTGTGATCTAGATAAGTTCTGATCTATATAATGTTGATATGACGACCAAAACCAACGAAAAAAATGAGAAAAACTCGAGAAAACTTTATCAAAGAAACGATGCTTTTATTAACGTTTTATTTTAATTTTTGTGTTTTTTTATTAGAATACGTGTACGAAATATAGATCTGAAACAAAAAAAAAACGTACACATTGATGATAGAGTTTTGTACTTTTCCATCTATTTTATTTCGACTGAATTTGTATGATAATCATTTTTCTTTTAGGGCGAAAACCAATCAAGATTACATCACATCACCTTGAGTCATTCAGAAGCAAACATATGACCAAATATGAAGGCGATTTTCTCTATAAACTATAAAGGCATTTTTTTCAATGTTATTATGAGTATCACCTGATAATTTTCATAAGCAACGCGTATAGACCTCCGCGTTCTAAATCGCTAATGCAGTCCGATAACGGCGCTAACAACCGAACAACATTGATGCTTATAGATGTATTTAAAAGTTTATCCATAACTTTGCTGCCTTCATTGAAAAATCCTATACTGATGTACGTTGATTTCCTAGAATGACATACTTAGTGCACTCATAGTGGTATCATGATAGAAATGATTTATTCGCAGAAAAATAGTTCTTTGCAAACAATCATGCAAAGTGATGAAATTCATCTTATAAGATCACACAAGATCTGCCGTTTTCTTATAAAATCTTGAGAACAGACCTTGCGTACGCTTATACCCAGGTCGTTTTATTCCTGACTCAGGATCCGGTCGGAGTCGACCGGATCCGACGTCGAAAGACATCGGAAGACGTCGGGTCCCGATAAAATCTGTCCCGATCCGTGGTGGATTGCATAGGAATTCTGTTACTCTGATTCCGAACGGAAATTGTATGGAAAGAATCCGATCATTAGAAGCATCGGAGAGCACTGGATTTCATCGGATTTATGGGTAGTTTTTCTAGCCGTTAAAAGCTAATATTTAGCCATAAATATCTTTCTTCTTGTTTACTATTTATTTTTTGAATCAGTTTCTGGGATCGACTGAGTCACATGTTTTCGAACAGCAGTGAGTTTCGATGACTCACAGACTGTCCCGGAAAAGCATACTTTTAGAAAAAGCACACTTAAATTGTGCCAATGGCATGGAAAAAGTGTGCCAAAGTATACTTTTTATTTGCTGCTAGCATGCTTTTACCGTGCCATTGACACATTTCTAGTGTGCTTTCGGCACACTGCGGTAGCATTTTTGGACGCTTTTTGTGTGTCACTTCTGAAAGTGTATCATCGGCACAACTTTTTCAGGTCTCTATCCAGAAAACGCTTCGACGCTCTTTTGGTTTAAATGCTTGTTTAAGTATAGATAAATTAATGTTGGACGCGTTTCGCTTTATTTTAAAAATAAAGCTCTCAGGAATAAAAAAAATCGGAAGAACAGAAAGCATAAAACAAAAAATAGAACAAACAAGCGAAGAAAGAAAAAGAAAAAACCTCAAAAATGGGGGAGAACCAACTGAGTAGCCTTTATGCCGAAAAACCCCAAACCAAAAAACACACACCAACCACACGAAAAAAACAGCATCTTTTCGTGATGGTGACTCGATGGCGGGGCTGTTTCTGATCTCCGCCGGATCCCAACAGGCACGTGTCTTAATCCTTTTAATATTGTATTTCGATCAAGTAAATGTGTGTGTATATATACACACGTGCATTCTTTACAAAATGACTAACCGGAAGGCTAAGATCGATGCGTCCTCCTGATAAAATCAGGAGAAACGCGTTGATCGTAGCGATCCGTTTGATCTTCTATATAACAATGCTTTAAAAAAAGGTATAACCGTTATATATATATATAGACTAGAACCTTTCTCTTTATAAACACATACAACTTCAGTCTTTTCTTAACATAGTGCGAAACTGTTTCTCATCGTTATTTTTGTAAATTATGTATGTTTTATTTCTTTTTTTAAAGAAATTATTCTAAAAAAAATGAAGTTATTTTACAAGGTAAGTGCACAGCCGTTTCCTTGAGAAGTAGAGAGCAAATTGGAATAAATAAATCATTTCTCCTTAACCACAGAGTTGAACGGTAGAAGGCACTTTCGCCATAGGGAGGAGTGTACTTTCATCACATGTGACGAAAGTTCGTTTTTCAGAAAAAAGCATGGTGACGTAAGTTCCCGTGAATTTCGGAGTGTTTTTTGTGGCTGTGACGAAAATTCACACTTTGATGACGAAAGTTCCGTCGAGTGTGACGAAAATACCTTTGTTTTTAACGGTTCCTGTTTAACTTTCACCACACGTAAATACTGCTATAAATACAGAATAGAATCAAGTGCTGTGAAATTATTATATGATCGGGAGCACTCCGTCAGTAAGAGCTGCACCTAGTATTTACTACACTGCAGTACTTCCTTAACAAGTACTTACAGTGGATTATGTGCCTCTCTCATGAGATAACAAGTAAAACCAATGAAGTGCTTCCTCAGGTAGTACTTGCCGACTAAATACTACTCACACCTTAAAACATAAAGAAACATATATAGAATCCTACATATAGAATCAACTGTTGTGAGATTATTATGTGATCGGGAGCACTTCCTCAGTAAGAGCTGCACTTGGTATTTGCTACACTGCAGTACTTCCTTAGCAAGTACTGACAGAGTAAATAGCGGCGCATATATACGTTTTCGGAGTGCTTTTTGTGGCTGTGGCGAAAGTTCACTTCTACATAAATTGTAACTTACAGTGAACAAAGATTTATTGTTCAAAACTTATGAACTTACTCTGTAACCACTTGCTAATTAAGTACTGCATTTAACGTTCTTTAAATGTGACCGAAATTCATCACTACTGTGACGAAAATTCGCCTCATGCAACGAAACTTTTGATGTGTGTGACGAAAATTCACACTTTGGTGACGACAGTTCCCGAGAAATATCTCCACCCAAGAAACTTTCGTCATGTATGACCAAAGTGCGTTCGTCATAATGACGAAAGTGTGGCGTGACGAAAGTGCCATAATCCAGTTGAACTATATCCTTTTGGTGTTATATTACGGGATCTCTTTATCCTTTTGGATTATCTTTCTCAAATAATGCATAAAATTAAGATATCTCTTTCTGTGTAGACCTGGTTAAACACTGTGATTGTGCAAGATCTGATAAAAATGCACAAAAGTGAAAAATGGCTCAAAGGCTGGTCCAGGTGAACCATGTCTTGTAAGATCTTATATAACCTTGTAGCAAGAAAATCTATAGAAGTCAACGATGTCTGCCACAAGGTTTTATAAGATCTCCCAGGTCGACTGTCACGCTGAAGTCGCGGCGAGACTCGCGATAAAAAGTCGCGATGCGAACGAGCTACGCGATTGCTAAGATTCTCGCGAAATAAGTCGCGATTATCATTGCTGATTCTCTTCAATCGCTATTGTCGCGTCGCGTTCGCGATTCATTCGTTATTGTCGCATCGCGATCATACAGAAATCGCGGTGTCATAACGCTATCATATTCGACTCGTGACAAGATCTTATTATAGTCGCTATACTCAGTTATTGTTTGTTCTTCGCTTTATTTGGCGTTTGAGCCAGTTATAACAACAAAAGGATTTACAATGCGTACTTTCATCTTATGCTTCGCTTTAGTTTACTAGTTCTGCTCTTAGGTAACGGAAAATGGGATTAATTCGTATAATGGTAGATTAAAACTTCGCTTTTTCCCCAAATCTATCGGTGGTTCAGTTAAGAGTAGGACCAGTTGACAGTTATTACAATATGCAGCCTGTGTACCGGCTGACAAGCCTTTCATAAAACTGAAAGCAGATTTTCGAGTTTTATGATTCAATAACTTTTTCTCAAGCACGATTCCGTAAGTGAATCTTCCGGTACCACGCAGAACACTGACTTTTCCACGTTTCTACGCTTCCTCAATGTCGATTTTCTACGACCAGTATTTCTGAGACCCGACTTTTTCGCAAATTATCGAGCGACTGTTCTTTGATCCACTTTTATACGGCTCAAAATTTTTTCACGATCTCGTTTACAGTACTTCATCCTCGTTTAGTCTTTCCGCAGAAATTAATCCATTGATTGCTGTTTTCGGTCACTTTATTTGGACACTAGCTTTCCTTCGATAAGCTTCTGGTAGAATTTTGAGTTGCAAAAGAGTTTTGGGTGAGGATAAATTTTGAGTCGGGAAAACGTCCATGGTGGAAAAAGTTGTTTGCAGAAAAACGCAGAAGAATCGTTTACTGAAATGCTGATTTAGGCTACGTTTGGGGGATTTTCTGAGTTAACTTTCCGACCAATCATCTTCCTTAACACTAAGTTAATTTTTCTACTGTGAAAGGTCTTAGCAAATTTTATTACGTTATTTTGCAAGAAAAAAGTCAGTTTTATTTATTTCAAATATGTGAGAGAACGTTTAGCAAAAGCAATTTGATAAGATATTTATCTATGATGTAAGTGAGTTTTTTCGCCTCTTATTTAGAAAAAATGAATTTTCTCGGCGAAAAATTTTTTTTTCCCAAAACCCCTCCTTACGGCTATAGCTGGAGTATAGAGCTATCGAATGGCATAAAATTCAATGAGTTAGCTCCTCACCAAAAAAACTAGATAGGTTTTTGGCGGAGGGGTCTCATTTTTCAGGGTTTTCTATCGCGAGCAGCGCCAAAATTTCAAATTACGGTCTAAGAGTCTGAAACTAGTATGGATATACCCAGTTTTCGACGAGGAATCGAACAAAAAAAAGTTTGAGCCTGTAGCTACTTTCTATAAAAAGTTATGAGTGTTTTTCGAAAGGCCAAGAATTTTCGAAGTTTTTGGACCTTTTCAGTATTTTGCATTTTTCTTCCCGAAAAAAAGGTTTTTTTCAACTTTCAAGGTCATATTCGTGATCAGCATGCTCTGGCAAATTCAAATATGTGTCTTTTATCGAGAAAAAAATTTTGCTAAAATTTTGCTTTGCGTGCACCTTATATTTGCCTCAAATAACACTTGTATTCAATTTTCGGTCTTACTTTCTAAACAGTATACATCCTTAAATTGGTTCTTAAGATAAAAACACTATAAATGTTTGTGAATATTCCACATTTGACTTTTTATCATTTACGTAAATATTTATCTTATTATGCTATTCCAATTTATCCAAGACATGTAAAAAATTTTATAATTTAATTTAAAATGATAATTATTTTTGGATGAAATTAATTCAAAATCAATTTGGTTCTATAATATATCAACGTTATATTAATGATATATTTACAACTAAGAATTCGGATTATAATCCATATAATACTGATAAAGATAAATTTAAATTTGAAAAAGCTTATAAAAAAAGTTTGCGTTTTCTACGATCACATTGTAATAATTGGGAATATAATTTATTAAATGTTAAAGATAATTCAAATGGTATTGTTTATAAAAGAAAATATAATTTAAAAGTACATCCATCTACAAATGAATTAAAAATGGCAATGAATATTCAAAAATTTATTCAATACAATATAAATAAATATAATTATTGTTTAAACGAACAAAACATCAATCATATATCATTGTATGAAAATGAATGTATTTTGATTTAATCAATGTTAAACGTTTATGTGGTAAGTGAAAATTTATTCGCAGACATACATAATTTTTAAATTTCTTTTAAAACAAAAACTTTTTTTATTTTAACAGTTTTTAAAATATTAAGAATAATTTTCTGAGAAAATGATTAAAAATAATTAAATTAACCTTTAATCAAACATTTAAAGTTATGTTCAATATTTTAAGTACCGTTTAAAATATTAAAATATAACGTTAAAAATATAACAGAAACTTGCAGTTAGGCCTTGGCTACAATTTAGTATGAATCACAGATCTACAGCTTATTTCGTTCACGAGTTATTCAAAAAGTAACCATGAGCCATAGCTTTTTGAACAAGGATTTTGATGGAAAATCATGAGGATCCAACTTTTATTGAGCATTACGTTTTTTAATTACTTTATTTTTTTTATAAATACATATTTTTCATGTAGTTTCCAACAAAAAAAAGTGTACTCGTGTCATTGCATACTTCCACTAAAAATTTTATCAAAAAACATTGAATGGTTCAAACATGCAAGATACTCAATCTTCGAAAAATATTCGTATGTTGAAAAAAGAAATAATATCGTTCTTGTTCTACTTTCTTTTGTCTGCTCAGTTTTTTCTTTTTCTCTTCTAACGAGAGAAGGCCCCCAACTGTTCAAAGCTTTTGGCCCAAAACTTAGTGGACAATAGGTAATCGAGTGTCCTGATTCCGAATATTATATTGGTTTGGGCCCAATTTTAGTTTAAAGACCCGGTTTTTGAAATATTGTGTTTTTGGGTTGAAAAACCATTTGAATAAAAAAAATTTTTGATCCGTGAATATGAAAGAGCATATCGCGAAACCCACGTAAAACTGTTTTTCAAGGTTTTAGAGGAGGTTTTGAGCGGGTTTTGAAAGACTAAAACTTGAAACTACACCAAGGAAAACGCGTTTTCGCACTTATGCGTTTTGTGCGATAAAAATACTGTTTTCTAGGTTATCAAACGTGCCAAATTCGAATATTCCATTGTTTTCAGTCCTTAGAAGAGCTAAAAATTTGGATTTGACGGAGACACTAGTTTGTTACAAAAATCTTTTACGCGAATGAAGCAGTTTTTCGACATGCCTAGATCAAAAAAATGAATTAAAAGACAATTTGAATGAATTACCTTGAATTCTTTTTCTGATTTTGACGGTTATTTTTATAAACAAGTTGGTTGAAATATAGGGAAAGGAAAAGAAAGGGTTTACTAAGGAAATCGAGGATTAAAAGTGCTATGTTGATAAAATCGAGGGAATGAACGTGAGTAATGTATTGCTACAAGAAAGAAGAAAAGAACAATCTGTAAATGGCATTAGGTCAAATCTATACAAGTACTAGTTTCTTTAGCTTTTCTGAAGATTATTGTGTTACGGCACATATTAAAGACGTGCCACAAGAGAGAATTGTATGATAGGTATCATACATATATATATGTATATTCGTTCTCTTTCTTTCTGTCAGGAATTTCTCCAGTGTTATTTCTTATTGTCTACTATACGTATCTTCAAATCCAAATTTTTAGCTCTTCTAAGGACTGAAAACAATGGAATATTCGAATTTGGCACGTTTGATAACCTAGAAAACAGTATTTTTATCGCACAAAACGCATAAGTGCGAAAACGCGTTTTCCTTGGTGTAGTTTCAAGTTTTAGTCTTTCAAAACCCGCTCAAAACCTCCTCTAAAACCTTGAAAAACAGTTTTACGTGGGTTTCGCGATATGCTCTTTCATATTCACGGATCAAAAATTTTTTTTATTCAAATGGTTTTTCAACCCAAAAACACAATATTTCAAAAACCGGGTCTTTAAACTAAAATTGGGCCCAAACCAATATAATATTCGGAATCAGGACACTCGATTACCTATTGTCCACTAAGTTTTGGGCCAAAAGCTTCTGAACAGTTGGGGGCCTTCCCTCGTAAATCTATTTCTGTAATATATTTCTCATTTGTAAGTACGAAAAATGAATACTACAATGCTCAAAAACTTTTCTAACTTCCAGATGGCAGTGGATCGCCTGCACCCGTTTAATCACCTTAACTAAAACTGAGTAAAATTATATGAAAAAAAATGAGAAGGTTATATTTAGATACCTAGCATCTGGGTGTATTTCATAGAGACGAATAGTCGACCGAGACAGGGACAAGCATGGGTAAAGAATGTTGTACTGCAGCGTCCGAAAAATTCCGCTGCACCAAATGTACATGTCGGTTCGCGTTCGAAAAACTCCGTGACGCTAAAGCCACGCAACGCCCACAGAGGTCCAGGCGGTCAAAAAAACCTTGTGCATTTTAATTTCTCTAGTTTTTGATTAATTTCTTTAATAACCGAGGCGAGAAAAGTTGTAATATCTTCAATAGTAACTGAACTATAATTCGAAGAACAATTTTGATTTGATCCATTGTTGATGATTTTAGTACTCCATAATCTATATGTTTCAGACAACAGCGATTGGAAAGATTGAAGTAGATATTATACAGTACGAAACAACTAAGCCGAACATCATCGGGCACACCAAATGAACTTCTATCTGAAAAGTTCTGCTGACAAATAGAACAATACTAGTTCATTTTGTAGCCCAGAAAATTTTCTATCTTTCTATGTATAAAACATTCCGATTCAGAGCAGTTGGATAGAAGAAATGTTCTTTTAAAGCCTTGAGATTGGTGAAAATCATGATATCCGTCCAGTATTTTGACAATTGTTCTATATGGGCATATTTTTGAAAAGTTTATTCATAGCTCATTTTAAAGCCTAGAAAACTCTCTGTCTTTTCATATATGGGTTTTGCTACAAAATATATCTTGATATCTGCTCAAATGTTTTAAAAGAAAACTTGAATTCTCTAAAAAGTACGTTACAGTTTTGCCCATTTTAGAACTTCTTACTAGTATTCGTATAACGCTCCGCTATATTTTGTAGCGAAACGCTCAAAATGTTTTTTGTAGCGACTTTCAAGACGCAGCTGTCGTGTGATATAACTGCTTCTGAGCATGGTATATTCGACTTAATTCTCTCCCATTTTCTTGACACCCTTCATGAATGATATCTTACACATAATTCTCTGGAAATTTTTCATAATTCTAATTTCAACTGTTTTATTTCTTTCGAATTTGGTTTATTTTCAACCTTTTGCGTTTGCTCCGAAATGCTTCGCTATTACTATATGCCATTTCTTAATTTGATAAGGGTTCCCTTTCAGTATCGCTCGTTTTTGATTCCTTATTGGTTGAGTTTTGTTTAACGATAACTAAATTTTGTGAACGTGCTATTGCTTTCCGACATATTTCTTCATTTGGACATTTTATACGCAATAGCCAATTCAAATATTCAGGTGAAATACGTCTTAAAAGATCTTATGGTTTCTTATGCAATCTTGCTACAAGATCTTTTGGCAAGACCTTGTACGGTCGTATCTCAAGATCATATATGAACTTGCGGAATCTACCCAGGACGTCGAAAACGGTATAATTAATTGCCAATTAAATGCCATTTAATGCGCTGTTAATAAGCATTTAAATGGCATTTTTATGACATTTGACCCATTTGAGAAAATGTCAAAAAAATATTTTCTGAACCTGAGGTACTATCACCTGCATCGAGTCAAGAACCACAGACCACTTCGTCGAGTCAAGTTTCTATGACTCGTATAATTGAAGAAGAAAAACACTCTAAATTATTTTAGGAAAATCAGAGTCATTTATACTATTCATGACGGCAGAATAAAACGGTGAATGACTTGATGACCATAAACTGGCTATTAAATGCTATTTTATGACCAGTTTTTTGCCATTTTGAAATGGAGAAAAAACGGCCATTTAACGGCCACATTTATTTGGCATTAGTTAACGCGGTCTAATAAATGGATGAGAATAAGTCAAAAAATTGTCATTATAATGGCTGTTAAATGACAATCTTCATTCGATTTTTACATAATTAACAGGCCATTTTTTGGCATATAGTTAACAGGCTGTTAATGGACAATTAAATGCCAGTTTTCGTCGACCTGGGTTGTAGCTTCTTGTCGTAAGATCTTGCAAGATCAGCTTATAAGGAATGTTAAAACCGTGTAACAAGAAATCATATGATCTTGCAAGATCTCATCAGTAAGAGCGTATACTCATATTAAGTTCTTATCACAAGATCACACGATTTCTTGTTACAAGATCTTATAAAATCAAGTGATGATTCATTCTTACCATATAAATTTTGCTATTACCCAGGTCAAAAAATCAGATCAAGATCTTACACGATCTTATAAAATCTTACGGAAAATCACAGAAACGAAGCCACCCAGATGATTGAATCGTACTATCAGATCGTACAAGATCGTATACGAATCGTACGATATCATATACGAATCGTGGTACCTGATTTGTCGTGGCTGGCTCGTACTGTACGATTTCATACGAAGGTGTATGATCGTCTATGATCTTGTACGATCGTGTTATACGATCCAAAGGACAAATCAGATACCACGATTCATATATGATTTTCATAAGATTTGGTACGATTTTGTCTGATTCAGATACGATCCTAGTACTATTCTTCGACCAGGGCATCTTATAAAATTTTATAAAAATTATACAAGAATCTTACGAAATCTGATGAAGTCTCACTATAAGGCCTTACATTAAGAATCAGTTTCTATGTTTCTTACAGAATCTTACAAATTCTTATACGAATCTTACAAAATCAGACGGAATCGTACAAGAATCTTATAAGATCTAACAGCAAGGTTCTTTGACCTGGGTAGTTCTTATGACAAAGCTTAGAATTTTTTTTTTCACACATCAGCTGAGCACAAATAAAGTTCATGGTTGTAAGAAACGAGGTTAGACACATTACTAAGGACGTCAGAGCCCAGGTGTGCAAGATCTCACGGTATCTTGTTGCAAGAAAAATATGATGAAATCCCATAAGATTCTTGTGAAATCTTGTAAAGTCTTGTAAGTTTGTATATGATCGTGTAAGATCTTGTGAAATCTTATGCTATCTTCTGATATTATACTACAAGATCATATTTCTAGATTCTTCATCCTGGGTAGTGGCAAATACGACGACAATCTAAAGAAACAAACAACATTTGACTACAAGGTAACGTTCGTCTGTACTCGTTTGGTCCATTGACTTTACGAACTTATATCTGCTAACGATCTTCCATGACTTTAAAACCAAGACAACGCTCACACCTCCCTTCGGTCGGTGTTCCCTAAGAGACTATCTAAAATACGATATTGAGTTTTTCTCTGATTTCATGTGTAAACTTCGTAGCCTAATATAAATCTAAAAGTTTTCTCGAGACCTTCCAAAGATCCTCAGAGGTCTAAAAATGTTTCTGAATTCAAGAGAATATTCACGCCTCTCTTTGATCGGCGTAAGCGGCCAGAATAGGTGTGAAATGTTTTGAAGTTCTCTGACTTCATGAAAAAAGCGCCCAGTGTAATATGAAGTTTTTTTTAAAATAATGATTGTAAAACTCATTCAATTAATCTTTTCATTCATGAAATTATTAACAACAAACAATGTTGTAATATGAAGCTAAAACGTTTTCTGGACATCCTATGTAGATTCTCAGTATTTCTGATCGATTCACTGTGATAGGTTATCTGTATTCTGTAAGTTTTATTATCCGTAGACCACTTTTTTTTGCGTTATCCAGTTTACACCGATCCGTGGCGACATCTACCTGCATACTGTAAAAACTTACTTTTTTTACTCTCTGCATCAGTAGATATTTTGAGCCATCTCTCTGAATATTCTCTCTCTCGTAGTTAAAAAGATGTTCTATTTTTCTCAGTTATGATTGGCTTATCCATAGAATGTCTGAAAGCCATTTTTCCCTGTTTTGCGCACAGACAGACAACCATTTAGTAAGATCCTGGACTAAAGTCGATGGAATATGTGCTTTGTTGTTGCTTAACTTTTCTTCCATTTGAGGTTTCAGCCTAGGCTTCACCCTTTTCTTAGAGTCTTTGTATCATCATTTTATTTCCAACTGATAAAGTGGACTTTAGGGAACTTGAGCTGTAACTTTTTCATCATTGAAACATTAGTTCAGAAAAAGTTATGGTCAAAACTGAAAGATCAAAAGGTAACTATTGTAATTGAAAGGTTTCAAAAATTAAGATGATAGTAGTATTTTTCAAAAGTGTTTTCTGCGCAATATTGTGACATTCTGGCTCTATATCCCTTTTTTTGGCCGTCATTTTGAACAACTCATGTGGGATATCAATAGCTACAGAGATTATTTTATCTAGAATATTGTCTTTGCGCAGGAAATAAAAGATTCTGAAGTTTTACGAGAGAAAAAGTCATGGGGAATGCTTTTTTGCTATTTTAATAATTTATCAGTTTGTTGAAGGTTTTTCTTTTAGAATAAAATGTCTTTATCATCAAAAGATATAAACTTAATTCTTAATTTATTAAATGAAGATACATGTGGTACAACTTTAACCTTTGAGCAAATATCTTCACAATTTCAACATGGAATACATAAACATGATTATTTAAAAGTTGGTAACGCTCTCGTTTTACTATTACAAAATCGTGATCTAACTCCAACACCAGAACAACGTCTTATTATTTTATATTTATTTTTTGACATGTATAAAACTGAATCATTACATTTAAATCCATTTGCACCTGTTTTTCTCACTGTTTTATATCCACAACAAACAACAGCGACTTCAGCAATAAACGGTTCGAATGTCGACACAGCATCAGTAGCTGCAGCACAACAAAAACGTTTTCATTGGATAATATCAAAAGTAACACAACATGAAAGATGGTTTGTGCATACGTTAATGAACGGAAATGGTATCAATAAAGATTTGTTAAAAAAAACGCCGAACTATATTTTACAAATGTCAATTCCATCACCGTCTTCATTCGATGATACTAATCATGATTATTTTAGACAACAAATAATTGATCGTGTAAAGCAATTACCATTAACTGCTCAATGTCATTTACCAGCTGTTATTGATGATCCTGAAACAAATAAATATAATTTTGATATGTTATTTACTCGTAATGGCGGTACAAATAATAATAACACTATGAAACAAGATTACAAACAAGTTGTAGAAAAATTATTTATTGGTCAAAAACCATGCATGGAACAAACTATACGTCCCGAATTTTTACGTTTAGTACCACCATTACATATTAGTCTTGATTGTGATGAATTAATATGGATGAATCCAGTTGAAAATGATAATTATATGGTAGCATGGGATGGTTCAATGTGTATTACAAATAAAATAAGTATTGAAATTCGACAATTAATGGATAAAGCCTGTACGAGTCAATTAAATTTACAACAACAACAAAAACTCTTAGATGAATTAGAATTAGATCCATGTATTGTTTATCATATTGGTTTGGTACCATCAAAATTACCTTCTTTAGTTGAAAATAGTCCACTAATAGCTATCCAATGTTTATTGAAATTAATGCCTAGTAATCAATTAACAGAATATTTATCATCATTAGTTAATATGGATATGTCATTACATTCAATGGAAGTTGTTAATCGTTTAACAACATCGATTGATTTACCACAAGAATTTTTACATTTATATATCTCCACATGTATAACAACATGTGAGAATACTAAAGATCGTTTTTTACAAAATAGATTTGTACGTCTAGTTAGCGTATTTATTCAGTCATTAATTCGAAACAAAGTTATCGATGTTAAAGATTTATTCTTAGAAGTTCAAGGTTTTTGTATTGGTTTTAGACATATTAAAGAGGCAGCCGCTCTATTTCAATTAGTTAAAAAAATGGATAGTAACAGCAACAGCAATAATAATGGTAATGGTAATGGTAGTTCACATACAACAACTACAGATGAAACAATAGCAACATCAGAGTGACACATAGTAAATAAATTTAGAACGTTTACCTTATATTTATAAAAAATTGCAATTTTGTTTGTATATATATATTCTTTCTCCTAAACAAAAAAAGAGTCATGATTTAGCAGGATAGATTTTATTGATTATAAAAGCAATACATACCATTTTTTAGATGAGTACAAACGGTATAAGAAGCTCATTGGCATGTCAATTCGTGAGACAAAAGTTTGTTTGAGAAAAGAGTTTTTTTATCAGCTTTAAACCATCACTGCTGCGCAAATCACAAGCGAAAAGAACACTCATAAACTGCGTTTCGAAAATCTACGTAAAAATTTATGATTCAGGCAAAATGTGTTGTATATGTTTGTGTGAATCGTAATTAGAATATCTGTTTGTAAGAAAAATGCCCCATTTTATCCGTTTTGCCACAATCTTTTCATTCCAGGTCATAGTAATTCTATTACTTTCTCGTGTTGTGAATATTGTTTCATGAATAACTTGAACAACTTGCACTGAAAATATGAGAATATAGATTAGTTGAATGACAACATTGTCTGAAGAAGTTTTTTTTTTCTTTTATTTTGTATTACTTCTTTTTTTTTCCCAAAAATTGTTTGCTTGTTTTCTGAAGTCGATAACGGCTTTGTTGTTGTTGTTGTTGTGTTTTCTTTTTTCTTTTATTGTTCCTCTTGATATGATCGCTCATTTTCTTTTTGTGTATGTTTGCTCGTTCACAATTTTTTTACAGTGATATCAGTGATCGTTAAAAATAAGATATTATAGATGATAAATATGACTAACGACACTTAATTTGATTTTTGAAATAATTTAATAGTGTATATTTAATGACTTTCAATCTCTGGCAAGAATTTCATATTGAACATAAGAAAACTAAAAGAGTATCGTTTTAGATTACTTCAATAGTAGAATTTAGGAAAGTACTCGTTGGACGATATAAGGAGCTACAATTGTAACACTTCAGTTGTTTTTTGCTCTTATCTAATCAAGAGCAACAATATTACTGAGATGGAAGCTATTCATTAACTTTTGTTCTCATGTTTCTGACGGAGACGGGTCTTTTATTTAGTTAATTATTTGTAGGGATACGAATGGTTTTTTAAGCAGGAAAAAACTAAAATCTTGTTCTACAGCGGTAGAAAAAGATCCTATTGGCAGTGATTGATAAGAAAACAAAAATTTTTTTTTTTTAAATTTTATATTTTACATTCTATTTGAGCGGGTGGTGCAAGCAGGATTTTTTTGCCGTTTGGAAAATTTTCTACTGAGGCAAACGAAAGGATTGAGCGGTACATTTTTCTGCAGCAAAAGTTGACCTTCAAAAAATTCTATCGAGATATCAAAAATCTACGCTCAAACTGGCTCTCCTTAATTGGAATTAGTTTCTTTGTCTCACTTGTCTTTTATCTATCTATTTTTGAATTAACCAAAACTTTTTATTTATTAATGTTTTGTCGTTTGAGTAAAATCTCAACTAAATTATGTTTATTTAATATCATCGAACAAAACTCTTACTGTTACTTATGGCTCGTGTCAACGTTCAAAATTCGTATTTTGTCCTTATATATTTTCGTTTTTCTTTATGTCAAAGCTGATATATTGAAAGCGTAAGCAACTACTAGGATAACTCACTCAAAAAGATTTCTATCTTAATTCTCTACTAATTATGTTGTCAGCTTGTAATATGGTTTTTATTTTCAGATGATTTCCAGGGCACTTAAATGTGATTTATAAATTCATTATGAGCATATGTGTCACGATGAGTAAGTAGCTCGAGCATGAATGAGTCGAATAATAATAGGAAATACAGTTTTTCTTTTTTGAGGACTTGACGAAGACAGTAGTGTACCGAATGATAGACAGGAGTGTTTATGGTCTTGTTAACTTTTTTAGAAGACTTTTTCCGTGAAGTCTATTCTGAATAAATAATATATGAGAATTTTTAGCTAGTATTCTCTTTTCTCTCTTTAAAAATTTCTGAGATAAAACGCCGATTATCAGTAAACAGGAGTATTTGTCGATATTTAGATCGACCAGATTGAACGTTGATACTGATCAAAGTTGTTCAATACGTTCTATATTAGATGGTCGTCTCCATACTAAATCAATGATAAGACATCCACCATATTCAGCTCATAAGTCAGTTATATCATTTTATTAGAATCTATCAAAATGTATTAGTTCTTCTTTATGAAGATATGATCCGTATTTAAAAGAACTACCACAGAAATCGTATGACAGAACAATAATATCTCATGTTTGTCAAAATGAACATAAAAAAACAGTGAAAGATAAAATATAGAAGTGCAAATGAATAAAGTCTTATTCAGATCTTGATGCCATAATTGACATAAAAAAAATTTCAATTCTTTAAACGAGTTAACGTTTAGGAGAGATGTTTAAGGATCAGTGTAAAAATAGAAAACAATAAATGTTAGTTTGACAAAATTATTTTGTATTATACTCATTGAACTTGTTGGTTTTCAAACATCTATTTAGATACCATATGATGTAAGTGTTTCAGTTTTTTATATTTATCATTTATTCTATAGCCATTGATACTCTTTTTAGCAGTAATACAATGATAAATCTCGCAAAGTAAATGACAAAAAGTTTCTCTAACGGATTTGTATCCATCCCATCATAGACTAGGACCATGGACTGTAAATAATTTGAAAATCATTTTTTAAAACAACGGCAACATGGACAAACAGTTGAAATTATTTATGTTGATAGAAATCTGTTAAATGGTGTAGACCGAACTCTTTGTGTTTCTGAAACTGAATAGTGTATTGATAACTATAATGAGAATCAAAATAAAAGATAAATAAACCAGTCAGTCCTTTAACAATCTATACTAGGATTTGCTTTTTTAGGTTTTGGAAGTTTTATTGAGGAGCATTATGTCGATTGATAAGGTGTGAAACATTATTTTTCTCTTGTTCGTCGATATCTTTTTCTTGACATGAGTTTGAACAAGTGACTGTACGATATTTTATATTGTACATAAAGATTAGAATATTTTTGTAATTTGTTACAGATTGTACTGTTATAAATTTTAGATTTTATTGTTCAATGGTTTGCTTTTTTACATATATTGGCTGATTAAGAAATAATCATAATAACTTAGTAATAACAACATAGATGGATTAAAGAAATGTTTTACTAAGATTCATACAAGACAGGTAATAAGAATTATTTCAATAATAGAACAACTTACAACATCTCACAAAACTTCTTTTCCCGTCTAACTGCATTTGCATGATATACATTTGATTATAGACAAAAAATATTTTTCTAACAGTTTTTCGCGTTGGCTTATCAAAAATTGATTTTGAATCATCATCCCTAGTTATGACAACCTTATGCGAACATTAACCTTGTGCACATTGTTGTATTGAAACTTTATATGCGCACATTAATCATTTCTGTATCTTAAAAGAACGTGCTTTCACTTTGAAAATATTTTGTGTCGTTTCTCAAGAAACAGAACAAATAAAAAGAAAAAAAAGAAAAGAACGTAAAAACGTCGTGTTTCTTTACAATCTACCATTAGTAATTACACAAATCATCTTGAAATCGGTAGGTATGTATATTTGTTTGAAAATAGAAACATCATGCATGTGTCATCATAGTCAGGAGTATATGACTGTGATGCAATGTGTAGGTATGCAAGAAAAGAAAAAATACTACTACTACAAATTCGTATTGCATCACGTGAGAGTAACTGGCCGTTGTGATTTTTAACTCAGTGTGCCAAATAAAACAGATGAATCAACAATCACACTTGAAAGTGTTCACACGGTCCGTACAATGTCAGTTTTAGCTTTTAAACCTTGCGGATTTTATTAAAATCGGAGTCTCTCTAATATCGACGTAGAAAAAGATAGTCTCGCTTAGCTCTGAGTCAAATAGTAAAAAAGTGACTTTTATGGGATGCTCATAATTGTCGATACAACCAAGTATATGGAGTTTTTTGTCTTTTAATTGGATGTAAGTGCATTATACTACTGTCATTCGATAGTTTACAAGGTTAGCCACATTTTAGTAAAAATATTTTTTCAACCATTCTTTCCCTATTATCTTATTCCATTGATTGATTTTTTCTTCTCAGAGTCGTTATTTTAAAAAATTCCTAAGGAGGACAGGTAAAACTTTGTCCAACACACCATTCAAAAGAGCATGAAAAATAAAGACAGCAAACCTGATTTAGAATTGGTGCCAAGCCCACTTTTTTCAGAAGTTATAACGCTTTTTATTGATCGCACAACTTTGAAAGCGACTGTAAAAAATATAAGAATGTCTAATCGTTTTAGCTACTAGAATTTTCGTAGAATTGGAAAAGAGTAATTATAAGTTTTTGTGTAGCTAAGAATAAAATATTTCTTTTATATGATTGACTAAATGTAACAGGTAAGTATTGGGGGTTTTGCTAGTAAGGTTTTGAATATATATTTCATTTCTTTCTCCTTTTTTGGTTTGAAACGCAAACGTGTATTATTCTATTTTGAATTGTCTTACAAAAAGTTAATCGAAAAGTAATTAAAGAAATATACCGATTATAGAAGGGATTTATATCATAATTTCAGGAAATAAATCATTGAGACCTAAACAATAAAAAGCTTAAATATTCTTTTCATTTCTGGTAGCATATTCTAATACCTTATTTTTTTACGTCTCTCTGTTTTTTAAAAAAATAGACTCAAAAAATGAGTATATAAACATAGAGTAAATGCATACACGCACATGATGTACATGACTGATTCATGTAGAAAAACAATCCATGGAAAGAAAGGAAAATCAGATTGTTGTTTTCAAGTGTATATAGAAACGTTATGTTAACATCGTCATCGCATCTCAATATTCTCACATTAATCATAAGCAGAGAAAAGAGAAGAAGAAAATATGTCTATTTACGTTGTTTCAAACCGTCTTTCCTTCTTTTCTTTGATTTATGTTTCTTTCTTCCCACATACAAAAATGCAAGTAATCATAAAGAGTAATACTCACCATACCTAGCTGTAGGAAATCGAACACGAAGGAATTTATTTGGTAATAACAGAACTATGACTCCATAAGGACCGATAAACAACGTGTTTTCAATTGCGTCAGGAGAAAAATATCATTGACTGTATTTCTGATTCAACGCTAACCAATAATCGGTAAGTTGACTAATTTCTAACCGTTGATGATGTTGCTACTAGTTGTTTTTATTGTATCTTTAACAGAACAAAAAAAGATGTAAACAACAGGATTCAGGATATGAAGCAAAAGAAATGTAAATGACTTTTATTGAAAATTAGAAATTGATTTATAAACAAAAATAAATTGAACAAAATATTGATATTACATCATTTTACCTATGTTCAACTAGAGACGAGGGACTAATTATTCTTAGCTTTAGAGTTTTGCAGATATCAACATATAGTTTCATAACCTTTGATATAAGAACATTAGAACAAGTTAGAAAAAGGGATAGAATATTACTGTATATCCATTATCATATCAAGGCTCATTATTGCCTAGTTACTAGTTGACTTTTTATGTTTTTCAACGCAGAATCATCTTAATTATTTGATTAACTTTGTTGTTAGATCGACTTTCAGTTTGAATTAGATAGGTGATAGTAGGAAAAACTTTGTATTAACGAGAGCTGGAAATATAACTGAGATGATCATACTTTGCCTAAAATGGTTTTTTTATTAGTGTTTTGTGGTATACAAATAGTCGCCACAGGTATGTGATTGAATTAGATAACGTAGCGCTGTGCTCTTATCATTGTGTAAGCAGCATTAGAAATCAAAAACTTTTTTTCTCATACATCCGACTGACTGTGTTTTGTATAGGAAAGATTTGGAGAAAGTTGTTTATCAAAAGAGAAGCGATGAAAGTGTTTCTATAAACTAATTGTACTGTTTTAATTCATTTTATCCTTGATAAAATATCATCTATTCCCAAAATATACTTTCTTAAAAACACACGTTTTTTCTGCCTCTTTTAGAGCGAAAGTACATGCATAAAAAATGAGTCAACCAACAGCAGAAAAAAGTGTACAAACGCAAGAAAATTTATTTAATCCTAATATAATTGTTAATTCATTAAACAATCATCATGAAAATGCAGCTGCTGAAGTAGCCAATACGTTGGTGTCAATGGCAACCGTTGTTCAACGAACAAATGGCAAACAATCGGTATGTCTAAATAGATTTTGAATGAGGCAAGAAACTATTATTGTATTGTCTTTTTATTTTTATTCAGACTTCCACCTCTATATCTCCACAAACAACCCATATATTACCTGTTATATCTCTAGCAGATTATAATGGTGTACCAACAGCATCAGTACTTCAAGCAAATGTTCAATCAAAATTAAGAGCAAAATCACGTTCAATTGATAGCAATGGATTACTGGGAAATGATATATATAATCAAAAAACGACAACAATTGCAACACTCAATAATACAACAAACAATGATGACGATGATGATGATGATGATGATGATGATGATGATTCAATGGAAGAGGATAGTTTTGATTCATCAATGTCAACGGATAATTATCAAAGTTCAGGTAATACAACAACTGATCAGAAAATGACAAGTGAAACAAATGGTAATAAAAGACGGTATAGTTCTAAAGCAAAAACATTACTAATGAAAAAAAATAGTGACGGAGAAATAATTCAATATGGACCAATTCTTGTTAGACCAAGAAAAAGAATAGCGCCAACATTGGCTAACGGAAGAAAAAGTAAAGACGAACTCGTAAGTATTAACATTATTAAAGAAAAAACAAAAAGTATTTGCATCTTCTTTCTTTGATCTTTTAGTTACCACCTGATGAAGATGTTAAACGTAAACAACGACGAGAAAGAAATAAACAAGCCGCAGCAAAGTGTCGAAAAAAACGTAATGAATTAAAAGAAAAATTAGAAAAGGTATATTGTTAAAATTTAAAATTTGATTCTAGCATATTTATTTTTCTTTGACAATTTTCAACGTTTCTATAGAAGTAGACGATTTATTTCATATTTTTTTTAATCATAGGATGAACGTCTACTGATTGATCAACAAGATGGATTAAAACGTTCAATTGACTCGTTGGTAGAACAGAAACAACGTCTTGAATTAATGCTTCATCGACATACAGCTCAGTGCTCTAAAAAACTAAGAATTACAACAACAACAACTAACAATAATAATAATAACATAAATACAAATCTATTAAATCATCCTAATGTTTTAACGACGACTAAAATAATTCGAAATGATGAAATAAAACAACATCATCCTCAACATCATGCATTAACAACGGTAAATCAAACACCTACAACAACAACATCGATTGATAACAATAACAATAATGATAAAAATAGTGCTGTCACGATCAATTTGGCTAATATTAACGCTAATGAACTATTTGGATTCACTTCATCAAATGCATCAAATTCATCGCGTACAATAACTATACCATCAGGAACATCAACAACATCAGACGTTTCAATTCCAGTGATAACAATTCATATTGCACCCGAATTTGCACAAGCATTATTACAAATGCAACAGAATGCCGCATCTGTTGAATCAAAAACGAAGCTTAATGAATTACTTGATACACGTGCATTAGCAACGATATTAGCAAATTCCAGTTATATAACGAATAATACTAATAATAATAATTCACCAACAACACCCACTATCACACTGACTCAATCGGCGACAACCAATACAGCATTAGATATACAAAATAACAATATGAACAGTAATAACAACAACAACAACAACAACAATAACAATACTACCACCAACAACAATAAAGGCGACTAATCTCTTGTTCTTTTCTCTTCTTCAAAACATCAAAAATTAGTTTTTATTTAGAATAGATTTTGTACGTATCTGATGGCAAGTGTTTTTGTCGATAATTTTAAGCAGACAAATCGACATATGTTCGTTCTTATAAGATCTGATACTTTCTGTAGTCTTCAGTTCAGAAAACATTTTTTTTAATGTTCCATTCGTACGCTTAAACTATTGATTCAGGTTGACATTTGTTGTTTCCAATATAATTTTTTCACCAACTATGGGCGTGTGTATAAATAACAGTTCTTCTTTGTTGATATAGCTGTTTTATATGGTACGTTTTTTTGTAAGAAAAACAAATTTTTTATTTGATTCTTATTATTGTGATTGTAACGCTTTTACATGGTGTTGTATATTAAAAGAGAGTTTTTCTTGTTATGAAATTAAACTTTTGATCCACGCATTCTTGGTTCTTTTATCTTGTCGTACAGTCATCTCCCATATTTGTACATAAATTTGCTGTTTTGTTTTTGTTTACAGTTGAAAAAGGGTATTAGAATGAGTTCCAAGTCATTCCAGAACTCTCCAAGGATAAGGAGACTGATGACTAGGATAGAGTATATTTGTTTCTTGTATTTTTCTCATTTTTGTTTTTCTTGACAAAACATTGTTTGTTTGAGTGTTCTTTTCCAAATGTATGTGTATTTAAAATAAAAGAAAGTATTGAAATGCAAATTTCAAGCAATTTTTTAAAAAAAAGGACATGAACACTATTTACTAACACAATATATTGCATTTTGAAATTCTGTTAAAAATTGGCATTAAAACAATCAGTGATTCAATTAAACATAGTCGATTAGAAGTAAAGAGATTTTTTCTCCTACATTCTATGAATTGAATTGGTATGTCGGAATCGATAACTAAACATGGAGCATATTCCTGAATTTTTAGCAAGTAATTCGTTGCGAAAGAATTTTTAGAGCTAAAAATATTTAACTTAAGTTTTCAGAATAGCGTTTTACGGTTAACAAGTAGATTAATACAGTTAGTTCAACCATTAACTGTTTTGTTTTGACCTTATTCTTAAACAAAGTGTTTATTTTACATCTGGATGTAGCATAACGATAGTCAGCATACTATTTCTCTGCATCTGATAAACAATGTTCCTATTTTATTTCCTATTTAGATGATGGATTTGGATGCAAGTGAAGGAGGAGATGAACAACACACAATATCGGAAAGGTAATGTCAAATTCCATGTTTCTGTTTCACTGTCTCAGAACGATGGTTTTAGACAAAATACAGTCGAAATTAGAGTTGTCAGGTGCTTAGGTCAGAAAAGCAGAATAAAAAGTCAAAAAAGCGGAAATTTTTATCAAAATGCGGAAAAAAAGCGGAAACGCATTTTTCACCAAATGCAAAGGGTATTAAAAAAAATTTTCAGTGCTTTATGGTAGTTTCACTTAAAAAACACAAAAGAAGTACAAAACATCATCTAATTCACATCTTGAATCGATATTGGCTTTTTGTGGATGCATCTGTTTTATAAAAGTTGCTAACACAGAAGAAACAATAAGACAAATATTTCGGGCAAGATTGTAAGGAATATTTCTCTTAGTAGAACGTGGGTGGGAACTTTTGAAATGCAGATACTTCTCTGTTAGATATATTTTTTTTAAATATTGGTATACTCTACCCACACACTGGTTTAAAAATATTTTTTCTCAAGAATAAAAGTTGCAAAAGTATTGTTTTGACAGATTATTCAACCTGACCAAATTTTTTGTGAGAAAATGTAAAAACCTTCATTGCAGGAAAAAAGACAAAACAAAAATCCTCGAAAAGCGTACAAATTGCGGACAACGGACACTTTACGGCAAAAACTACAGAAAGCGGAATTTGTCCGCAAAATACGGACCATCTGGCAGCTCTGGTCGAAATGCACGACAAAAAGGATATAAAAAGGTGGACAGAGTAAAATATCTGAATCTTCAACTTTATCCATCGAAATAATGATGCGATGAGAGAACGATATATTGTGATCTTGAAAAAAGCGGGTCATTTAATTAAAAACATATAAAACTAAATTTTCAGAGTTTGGAGTGGAGTTTTAATTATAATTAACATTTATCTCGGAAATGTTTGCCAATTATTTTGATTATTCTAAAGTTTTTTGCTTCTCAAAGATCATATTGCATATAAAAACGATAAAAAGTCACGCAAATTTTTCATTTAATTAAATTATTTTCATTAGTGTTTTATTAGAGAATGTAGGAACTTTTTATGGTTGAATATTACCCTTACGGCTGACTATTGCATCAACTTCTGAAAGTAGAACCGTAATGATTTTTTTTCCAGCCAAATTTTATTGTATTTTTTCAGCCACACAACAACAACAACTACGGATGTTCAGTATGGTCGGGAAACAATTTGTCGATTTCTATCATCATTTTTGCAAGGTCTTAATCGAGGTATGTTAACTGTTTTTCTTGAAATCAAATTATCTCTGCATAATGTGTTATTTTAGTGACAATTCCTCAGCAAGAAAAATTTTTTAATGCTATAAATCAAATTGTTCTTAATACGCCGGCTGTGTTTGCATCCGAGTGTGACAAAAATCAACAATTTGAGAATATACTAACAACAAATTCCTATTGTAAGTGTAACTAAATTCTTCTATTTAAGCATCCATTATATAAATATTATTTTTTATAGATTTTGATATTTACATATTTTCTCAATTAGTTTGGACATTATCGAGTAAAAAATTTTTATGCATCCATGAAAATGTGGTATCTATTTTATCTCACATCTATGCTGAATTATCATTACGATGGCCGGCTGCATTTCGATTATTTTTAAATGAATTGATTTATACGCTCAATGGTACATACTTTTTCTTCATTTATTCGCTGGTCGATATATACATATCAGTCTTTATTTTGTTCGTATAGACGTCATGAGATTCGATGTTGAATTTATAGAAGAAGAAATCAATTTATCCAAACGTTTAACACGATTTATCATACCACAACAAGCATCATCATTTTCCTCGTCAATCACAATTGAACAATGTCATATCGATTTTAATTGTTCGGAAGATATTAATGGATTTCAAATAAATATTATGTAAGAATAAAACAGCGATAATTTGTTTAAATGCCCATATCCTTGTCAATAATTTATTTTCGACACAAAACACGGAATTTTGATCAAATATTTACAGAATATCAGTCTTGAAAACTTGAGTTATTTTGAAATTAATGATCAAAAAGTACGTGTTACCATTTTCCACATGCTATTTTGAGTGTCACGAGACTCGAATTGGTCTTGAAATGACAAGAAGACTTGTGACTGTTACTTAGCAGAGCGAAATGTTTTTGAAATTTTGTTTTAGTTATTTCATTAGAAGTTTTATCTCAAAAGTTGAAAAGTATTTTGCTAGGTTTTCAAAAATCTTTATTTTGCTCTAAAACTAAGACCAAAAACACAGCTTTGACTCTCTGTTAAGCCTTAATCATAAACCTCTCCACCGTAATAGAAGCCTCGGGGGCTTCTAAACTGTCCAAGCGTTCAAAATTTTTAGGGATGGCTCCTAATAGGTCCCACTATTTTTCAAGGGTTTCACGTACAAAAATTTTAGGGTTTTTCAGGGCTAGGGGAGGAGCTTCTATTACGGGGGGAGGGGGGAAGTCGTCTTGCCATTTTAAGATCAATCTGACTCTCAAACTACAATGTGAGAAATGATAATAATAATTAAAAAGTTTTTCAATAACTTTCAAAAAAGCTCTTTTGAGAAAAATACAAAAACAAGTTTTTACTTCTAAAAATGGTTTTTTGTGACGAAAAGAGTGACACGTAGGAGATAATTAAGAGTAGTTTGTCATAGGTTATTGACTATAATACATTGCGAATGTACATATGCAGAGACATATGCGGTACATCCTTCAATTGATAAATTAATAACTGAAAAACTGAAAAGAAAATACACATTGTGAGCTATCCATTCATGTATAAATCTTCAAAAATCGACTTGTCTGACAAGCCGAATCCTTAAGGATAGTTTGTTTGATCAGAAAAGGAAAACCGTTACCTAAACATCTTAATCTATTTATTTAGATCTTTACTCAAACATCTGTCTCCAACGTTATCATCATTACTGGATGATGAATTGATTAATTCACTTATTGATACATGTTGTCAGATGGTATTTACGTCCGGTGTCAATGTGAAAGCGGTATGGTGTATTACTAATTTAAGTAGATAACGAAACGATATATTTCTCTTTTTTTTTGTAGTCGTTATTTTCGTTGTTATCATCAGTTATTGAGCATAAAAATCTGAATACACTTATTCGAGATTTGTCACCTATCGTACATTTCTCATTATGTGATATTTTGATAACGATCATGGATTTTATACATACAGAACCGAGGTACAAAAACAAAGAATGACCTAAATCTAAAAGTATTTGTTTAATAAATGATATATATTTCTCTCTCTCTCTCGCTTTCTCTCCTCTAGACATTCAGTTCAATTAGAAATTGATTTTGGACAATTTTTACATATTTTATGTCAAGATAATTGTGATAGTGTTGAATTTTTTTCATTACATATTGCATTTTTATTACCACGACTAAAATCGAGTATAATAAAAATAAATTTTTCAAATAATACAAAAGATGATAATCATGAACAATTACCAAATCAATTATTATTTTGTCTTTTTGGTGAAGTTCAAAATGAAAAATATCTTGAATATTTATGTGAATTAATCGCATTATTATTTGAAATTGGAATAAAAACCGTTCCACATATTAGTTCAGTACTTATTAATCATGCTATGGAATTAACGGAACATTTAATAGTTAATTTAAATCAATCATTAATAGCAAAAGTATGTATTGTAAATTATTTGAGATATTTTGTTTTCAAAATGAATATAGTGTATATTTTATATATTTTTAAGTATCTTAATCGAACAATAGGAAACGCTATTTTTTGGATTATTCAAGAGAAAAATCGATCATCGGATCCATTTCGGTAAAAAAAAAAGAAAAATCTTAAACATCATCATCTTGCTTTAACGTGTCGGTTTTTCTCTTTCTAGTGTTCGTCGATTAAGTTTAGTCAAATATGCTATGAAACAGATTAAATCAACATTGGAAAATAATTCATTTAAAAATGATGATGTATGATTTTTTTAAAAATATTCTTGTCTCATTATAGATAATAGAGAAAAATGTTTTCTTCTAGGAAGCACTACAAAGTGTTTATAGTGTTTATTGTTTAATAACATCGATGTGTCAAGCATATGTATCATGTCAATGTCATTGTATTGTTATTAAATCAACAAATGAAACAAATGAAAATAATTTTTATACATCATGGTTAAATATTGATGAAATAAGTCATGTTTATGGTCATTTGATAAGTGTACTCGTCTATTTATTAAATTCAACTACACAAGATATTTTTTTCAATAGCTTATGGTTATACACTAGCAACAATTGTTGCCACATCAATCTATATT